AATGCCACCTATTTAAACATCATCATTTCCTGCAACACAAGGCTGAAGACAAGGAGTTAATGTTTCTTGCTTAACTTTTTCCTGGATATTTGCTGGGTTGGTGGGAGAATATGCCAGTGCTGTTGCTCTTTCTCTACCCTCTAAGATCTGATACTCCTTATGTACCCTCACAAAAAAGACCATCATTCTAGCAGGGAGGGGCTCTTGCTGGAGGGAGGGCTGCATATCATGGTACTGCTCCTCCCCTCTCTGGAAATCAGGCCTGCTTTCTAACTTGATTCCTGTTCTTTAGCTCCTCTGTATTACACACAGTTGAAGGGAAGGGCTTCAATACTTTAGGGTGCCATAGCTCAGTTAATGCTACTGGACTATTTTCTTCAAGTAGTACTGCTCACCTGTGATTCTGACAGTCCATCTGATCTCTGAAGCTTGTGTGCTTTGTGAACTACTGAATAGTATTTGAAGCAGACCAGGCAGTGGCCTGTGCTCCCACTGAGACACTCCTCATTAAAGTTAACATTAATCACAATCTTCATTTTGCTTAGTCTTATTTTACCCAAATGTAATGTCACTTCAGCACAAGTTGATGCTCTGATTTGTGTTGTTCAGGTAATAGAATATGGGTTTGTAGCATCAGACTAACACAAGTAGTCTGACCAGCATAAACGGGCAAAGGATTTAGGGATTGCAGGATTGGCCCATAGTTTGTGCACTAACCTTATCAACATCAAAAAACCCTACAGCAACTGATGGGTTTTTCTCTCTCACATCTTTCACTGCTGCAATGTTAATATTTAGACAAAAATATCGAGAAGATATCCATTCCCAATTCCTTACAATAAATAATTGTGTCTGTATACTATATAATAGGCAGGTCTATTCAAATTGTCCAACACACTTCCCGTTATAAGATCCTGTTTTCAGCTGTCTATAACTCTGCAAAGCTTTGACCATTTGGGTTGAAACTGTGCGTGTCAGGTAATCTGCAGGAGACGGATCAAGTTCCCCCCTGGGAAAACTTTAGCCAAAATGGTTCAGCTGTTTTCGAGAAAAAGGCTTGGGAAAAATACATTGTTTTGCCCATTTAAAAAAATTCTGGTGACTGTTTCTTTGAAATGCTCTAGACTAGAGCCACTATGCTTTGGAACAGGGACTTGAAATTTAGCCAAAGCCTTTTATCCTCCCCATGAAAATTCACCCAAATTTGACCAGGTTATAAACCTTTGAAAAATCAGTTTGTACATGCTTAGTAGACTTTTGATTTTAGCAGTTAAAATCGAGCAGCATGCTCCATCCCCTCTCAGCTCCTATCTGTGACCAGACTGCACATACGCCATCCCTGAAACCATGCCCACAGAGTGACTGAGCATGCTCCAGCCCTGGGCTATAGGATTTCCCTAGAAAAGCTGCTCCAGGACAGGAACTGGAACAGAGCAGGAAGCATCTTTGTGCTATCAATTCCCCCCCCCTCCCTCTCCCCTCTGGCACCCAACCTGTGTGAAGGAAGCTGTCTGATTTGAATGCAGAGGGAGACAAAAACTGGAGTGGGGAGGAGGGGAAGAGTAGATTGGGACAAGAAGTTGGGTGAGACTGGGACTGAATGTTGCAGGGAGAACTTCTTTGGGACTAGAAGGAGAGATGGGGACTAGGAGGTGTGGGAGACAGTTACTGCATTAGCTCAAGCGGCAGAGATATGTGATAGCTTTTTTTTTTTTTTTTTTAAATAAAGATACTGATCCTTTGGATAAAATTATGTGGTGTTGATATGATGTAATTTCTTTTCTCAGTTTGCTTTCTTAAAAACCTAGGAAGTTACACACTAAAAGCTACATTAAAAGAATATGAAGGTTGCAGAGTCAAACACTCAAAAATTAGGAAATGTTACTAGTGCAACCTTAATTGAGCCACCTTTTGTGTTTGCATTATGATACAGTAATTTCATGATTACATATTATTTTTCCCACAGGGCCCTTTAAGATAGTTTTCTGAGTTTAATATATTTACACACATCTGCCAATAAAAATTAAATAAAAAAAAAGGAAGAACTTGCATCTCTGAACCAACCCTAAACCTTATGCTCTCTTATTGCCTTTTTATACAATTAACATAATATTGCTTTTTACTGATTTTCTTTTTAGAGACTGAGTTGTTCTGGTGTGCTTATATCTAGCATGCTGTAGAGACCAAATTCACACGGTCTGCATTCATCATATAATATTACACTCACATTTCATTGTAGAAGTGGACTCAGATTCAGTGTGTTAAAATACTTGCTGCATAGGAAAATATTGAAAAGTAAGTATTAAAACAGACTGCACTGAAATATTAACTCTAATTACATCAATCTGAATTATTTTTAAACAATCAATTAATGGGAGGGCTACCCAAGCTTCTAACGCTGCATTTTAAAAAAGCCGAGTGGCATTTTTTAAGCACTGCCTACTGGGAAATTAAGTACTGCTGCTTAAAGGCAGTAGTAAAAGGTGAGCAAGCATGCTTCCAATTAAAATTTTGGGGCACAAAACCGCCACAGGTCTATCTTTGCCTTGATGTGTATAGGCCAGCAGTTATTCTTAACTGAATAGGATGCATTACAGAAGGAGTTTCACGTTCAGCTGTTTCTGATCAGTAATGTTACTCCATCTCTCTCTAATCATTTATTTTTAAACAAAAATGTTCAAGTGAACTAAGTGATCTGGAAAAAAAGAAGCGAACAACAGTGCTTGAGCCTGATTTAGTGCATCTAGGTGCTGCCAAAACTTCTTCACACAAAGGTCAGCTAATGCACCCGTATCCAAATATGGAACTCTCCCACTGAATCCAGCCCAGAACGTTATTCTATATGCACACACAGGGAAACAAAGCAGAATTCTCCTCTATGTGACCCAAAATCTGAATGGCTCTAGCGGCGACAGACCAGTGCACTAGCCTAGTGAGCCATGCTTTTACTTTTTTGTTCACATGGGTCCTTTAACAAATATTACCACTGGATGTGTATGAGAGTCGTCACATGTAGATACATGTGCAAATACTTATTTGAGCTATCTTTACTCAATATTTCAGCAGCGGCCCCAACTGGAATAGTGGGTTGCTTAATAAACCATTATAGTTCTTTGAAAAAGGAGTGACTATAGTTGTTCAGATGGTATATATTTCATAGTTAAATAATGCACTTAAAAAAAAAAAACTATGATATTAATGATCACAGCTACCAGTACTAAAATGGGCAATGGATAAGTTTCAATTACCCACATCTGACTCCCAGTCTAGTGCCCTGAACACTAGACAACAATAAATCAGCATTTCATACTCTTGGCCCTAACAAAGGAAAGCACTCAAGCAAGTGCTTAAGTCTCCTTCCTCAAGTGCAAAGCTTTTCTGAATCTGGGGCTGTCTGGGACCAGGCTCAATCTTGACAGAAACTGGTAGCAATCTTTGAAATATTCTGCACCATTTAAAAAAAACAACCCCCCCCCCCATATTTTTAATTCTCATCCTAATTTGAGTGTGTTAATGTCTGCATTTTCAATTACTCTTCAGTATGTACAGTCTGAGGCACTAGCAATTAACCACTGAAACCATTAATGTTGCCTCCTTTATTTTTCCCCCCATCTTTAAAGTGCTCATGTTAGAGGCATGATTTAAACAAAAAAATTTATTTCTCTAATACAGAATGACAGACTGCTACAACAACTATCAGTTTACAATTAAAAACGTTGGCTAATTGTGGATTTAAACTATATTCTGTATTTTGGGATTTTTAAAAATAAAGTGTTTTTTTCCACAAACATCAGCTAACAGTACAAAAAGCTGTCACTGTCCACAGGAACCATGTCTAGTCATGTTTTCAGTCAGTCAGCTGAGGGTCATGTCATTATTTAGTCTCTGCGCTGTAGAAAGAACACAAGTATGAAGATAGTGTCAAAGATAAAATACCTATATTTATTTAAAAATACACATTATAATAAAGGTATTTCTTATAATGGCACTCCAACCCACACATAAAAGCAAGTCTATAATTAAAATATGTAAAGAAACTAATACTCTATGTAGGATTCCCTGGTTCTCTAACAAATTCTGTGTGAAAGCAAGCATTTTTTCTGAAACATACTGTGTATTATCTTGTGAATTAAATTATGTTCTAGTTCTTTAATAATGTGCCTCTCTATTTTTGAACATATTTGATTGCTTATACTGTAAGACCCCAGGAATCTGACCCTGGGGGTCTATAGCAGACCCCTAGCACAATCCCAATACAATTCTTCCCCAAAGTGATTTGGACCCAAAACAAGTTCTGTTTTGTCCATACTATCACTTCGTATTTCTTTAGTTTACTGCTTCATTGATGTACAACACTACCGCACCACTTTTACCTTTATTCCAATCGTTCCTAAACAGTACATACCATTCAATAGCTATATTCCAGTCATGAGTGCTATTCCACCATGTTTTTGTAACCCCTGTAATATCTGTTTTAACCCTCCTGCTCAGTTGCCCTATGGAAAAATAGTTAATGGCACTCCTATTTATTTTTGTGTTGCAAAATTATGCTAAAGTTAACTCCAATCTTTCCCTACAAAGGTCAACGTACAGCGACTCAAAGGAAAACTTCACCATCACCTAAAAGATACTCTAAACATTAATTACAAAAGGTATAAATCACTCATAAGAGGGATCAATTACACAACAAGCCATTATCTTGATAATTTCATGACGCAAAGTAAGAAAAAGAAACATCTTTCTATTTTAAAGCACTGGAATTCAATCCATTTCAAAGTTCATGGAAAGTTTCAGAGTTCAACCTTTTTCCAACGTTTTCTAATGGGAAAAGTCATTAAAATGGCAGTCCTCATCGAAAGACAACCGTCTCAGTTCTTCAGTGGAGATCTATAAACAACACCATTACTTTTGCAAAACTGGAAATTTCTTTTCAGAAGAACAGGCACTTGCACAGATATGCAGCATCTTCTTATAACATCTATGCTAGTGTGCTAAACAAAGTTAAATAAACCAAAAAAAATTTTCAATATACATCCATATATCTTTTTTAATAAAAAAAGTTTTACACTTTTACACAAACTGCGAAAGAAACACTCAAGTTGTACCTTGGATGCCTATTTTAGCCAGATTCCTAAACCTGCATGCCAGAAGTTCAACATTTTAGGAAAATCTATAGCTGCTGCTCAAAAACAAAGTATTAGAAGCTAGAGTTACCGAACACTGGAAATGCAATGCGAGAGGCATATCAGTTTAAATGTTTTATATCTCCTGTTTTAAGAAAACAAACAACTAATTTCTGGGCGGAGAGGGGGGGAGAGGGAAAAACAGTGACCATATTTAATGTATTAGAACATTTAATCCTTAGACCTCTGGAATAAATTACCCCAGATAAAGAAGATCTAAGAAGTTACGGATTAGTAAACCACAATTTAGAAAGATAATTTAACCATAGGGACAGAAGTCATAATCATGCATACATTGTGGGAAAAAAAAGCAAAGCCTGTCTACATTTGGTCACCGGTAGGAGTAAAATGTTACGTTTTACAAAACGTGCTTTCAGTGTGCCACAATACTACTGAAAGGTCGTTCCTTTTGAAGCACCAGTGCTAGCATTCCTACAGCAGCAGCTCAAAACGGGAGACACCATTTTTGTGTGCTGCACCCTGCTGGAGATGCACCACGGCTGCTTTTCAGATTTACTGTGGGAGAAGGAAAAGAAAAGGGAAAAATGGGGAATGACGCGAGGCAGACCACAGTTACACAAAACTGCTTTTTAGCTCGCTGGTTAGTTTCAACTTTTTCTGTTGTAAGAACTGCACTTGGTTCCCTTTTGTCCTTGTGTGTCACCACATTATGCTCTTTTACATCTGTGAACTCCAACTTTGCTTGTAATATTTTACATGTGTAAGAAATGGCTCAGATCTCCAGGATGAGTTTGCAGTGCTAAAAGTTTGAACAAAATATCTTTTTGTTTACAAACTGAGCAATCTTTGACATGGAATCAGCGGAGAAACATGGAACTTCACAATGCTGTTTAGCCACTTACTATAACCACATTTTGAGACAAAAATATATTCCAAAATCAGATTAAAAAAAACAAACCGTTGTTAATTTTAAAAGGCCATTGCGAAACTTAAGTGGAACATCTACAATGCAGTCAGGCTTTCAAAAACTAGTTTGTCCTTATCTCTCATATGTTTCATGCTATATTAATAGCAGACTTGCTACTGCACTGTATAGTTTACATTAACATTACTGGCCATTCTTGATTATTATGAATATTTATCAGATTCCTCTGTAGTGGAGGAAAGGTTTTAATTTTATGCTTTGAAGTGGAAGGACAGCATTAGAAAGCCTAGACCCAAGGCTCAATACTCTCCTCAACATTGTGCACCCCAGCTACACATGGTTTATGAAATGTAGATTTCCTTCAGAGAACATATGAAAACTTTTTAGGAAGCAAACTGAAATAAAAGGCCGTTCCGCTCCTAAGCAGCACTGGAGTGTATCTTTGCCCATTGCCTCCAAAAACCTTGCTCTGACTCTACAGTTATTTTGGTTCTCTCTCTCATTCCAGATCTGAACAAAATTTACACCCCAATAATAAGAGGCAGCAAGCATATCCAACATAGTCACTAGATAAAGTCACAGGAAAAAATGTTGTCCTGCACAGCCAGAACCGGACCCCTGAAATGAATGCTGCTGCTCCTAGACACCATTAGCTTAGCTCAGCACAACTCTTATATTTTAAGTTCACTTCACTTGAAAACCCTCAAAGATTCTCTCTTGGACTCCTTAAAAGATCTTCACAAAATGGAAGGAGGACTACACCAACTGGATCTTCAACAGTACTACTTATTGTACATGGAGAGGAATCCTGACCAAAAAGATGCATAGCACTCTTTGGTTAACGACAGGACCCTGACCTCACCTGTGACACTAAGGCCTAGGCTACACTAGGGGGTAATTTCGAACTAAGATACACAACTTCAGCTATGCTATTCGCGTAGCTGAAGTCGAAGTATCTTAGTTCGACTTACCTGGCCGCCCTCATGGCGGTGAGTTGAGTGCGGCGGCTCCCCCGTCGACTCCGCTTACTCCTCCTGCCGAGGTGGAGTACAGGCATCAATTCGGGGATCGATTTATCGCGTCTAGATGAGACGCGATAAATTGATCCCCAATAGATTGATCACTACCCGCCAATCTGGCGGATAGTGAAGACGTACCCTTAGACTATACCCTTCTTAGCTCTGCCAAGCTCCATCAAAAAGGATCTTTCCTGAAAGACAGATGGTTTTAAGCCCCAAACTTCTCTTTATGGAGCAATCTCTGCCTGAGGAATGGAATAAAAAGCTTCAGTAATAACCGCTAATAGTCACAATGTAAAACCATTAGACCTAAGTAAAGTAGATTTATTATACCCTTGCCTTGTTTTAACTCCAAGCAACCCCAGATCCCTATTAAACCCTTATTCAGAGGCACCCAATACTTACCTCCCTACCTGAGACATGCAAGTTGAAGACCAATGATCACTGGCACTTTGCCAGCGTGTATTAGCTACAGTCGAATACTAGCTATCACACTCCACTCCTTCAACTCCAGATATAAGTGGCATGAGTAATTTGACAATTTGATGTGCAATTAAGTATGGAAATGAATTAGCATCTCATTGTCTTACCTTTGCTTAATTCATAATAGGAATTCATAATTTTAAATAGTATTCTGGCTGATGTGCTACAGAATCTAGAGTGACAGACCTCTCACGATGTGCAACTCATCACCTGTTTTCCAGTCTCATTCTTTGGTCTTGCAGAAGATCTTTCCTAAATGGAATTACCATTTTACGTACACTGCAGGAGCACTCAGATGCCCATTATCCCACAGCTAAACTTTACTTCCATGGTCTTACTGATGACAACCCATCCCTCCCCACCTCCCCCGAAGGTAGGAAGAGCCTTCATAGTCTTTATCTTATCTATATCTCACCAAATGATAGTGGAACACACACAATTTTGGTTTTCACAGATGCACATATGGAGAAATTCCTTTCCACTCCTTACCAGGAGAAATAACCTAGACCTACTGGGTAGGATTTTCAAAAAAATACCTAAATGATTTTGGAGCACAAGTTCCATCAATTTTCAATAGGACTTGTGCCCTAAGTCAATTAGGCGCTTTTAAAAAGTTTCTTTCATTCTCCCTTTTCTGGGAAATACTGTAAGACACATTTACACTATGGATTTCCCCTAGATGGCCCAGACACCTTTGGGTTCTCACTTAGCTTCCTTCCTTCTCCTTCTAAGATCCACTTTACTTTCCACTTCTTTCCTCTATTTCTTCTCTTTTCTCAGACCTCAGATCTTTGTCCTTACCTACCACCATTATGACAGGTGGTGTTCTTTAGTGAAAGAATGATACAGAGACTGATCTCAATCATATCCTTTATTTTTCTATATTTTCCCCTCTTTAAAATGTTCAGCATTGATACATTATAAGTACATAGGTTAATCATTTTCATACGGTTGTCCAAACTGATATTGATCAACTGGTTTATGTTTAACTGTATATTTTTAAAAATAAACTTAAAATAAGTTTCATTTAAAAAAATACCTACTAAAAATTAAAAATATGCTTTTGGGCAGGGATCTTACATTCCAAATTTATCACGAAGCAAGTTTTTAAAGATAATTATAAATTTCTTAAAAACTGAGGTTATAATTGAAATATTGTTACCAAAAAACAACAGAGGACCCACCATTTAAACGAGTTGAATTTTAGTTTACATCCAGACAAAATACTTACCCATTGGGTCAGTAAGTTCTTTGACGTTTGTTAGATTCTTCTGCAGGTGAATCTGCCAACATTACTTTAAGCCGGACACCATTCACAATCTTGCCATGTAATGAAGTTATGGCATCGCTAGCACTTGTTCTGTCTGCAAACTTAGCATAGCCCACATTTTTTCCTGTCACAAGGTAAACTTCTATAAGATGTCCAAACCGACTAAAAAATATAAAAAAATAAAAAATAGGACTGAAATACAAGTTCCATAATATTTACAATTTGTAAATGCAGCTGCAGCACTACAGCCTACCAATACAATATCTTCTGCAAGATAATTTGACAATGACAGTAAGTTTTATTCTTGTACACGTGATATCTGATTTTGTGTTGCCCTTCCCCCATCTGTACTTTTCCTCCCTTTGAATAGTCCTGGCAGATGCTTCAAGAAATAGGAAATAATTGTTAGGCCACATTCTCTAAGCATTCCCACAATAAAAATCACACCATATCAGTGCTTTACCCACATTTAAAAAAGAAAAAAAAAAAGTAACCCTGATCGACATCATGATCACTATAGGTGGTGTGGAAGGGACACTTGGTACATGGTGGTCCTTCCGACAACTTCAGAAAGGAGGCCCGTGGGCTAGTTTACTTATGTCCTATATGAGTGGACTATATTTGTTCACTTGTAATTTACATTTGAGAAGACCTCAGTAAAATGCCTTAAAAATAAATATTAAAAACTTATCATAGGAAGTCCTACTTTCCCAAGTCACCTGCAGGCTCCAAGGCATGGGTTGAGGCAGAGAGAGAAAAGACAAAATGCACTTGTATGTAATATACTCTTTGTTAGGTTGTAATATAGGATGCAAAGACCATGAAGAATAGTTTCCTTTCCCTTCAGACTCTGACTAAGATAGTCCAGCAGCCCAAGTAGGTATGTTTCAAATTCTACACAAACTGGCACTAGGCTTTTCTGTTTGTCTGTTTTTAAAAGTGGTTTGACTTTCAAAAAGAGCTGTCCCTCAGTTACGCCAATGGAGCTGGCAGATATTAGAATGGGGGAACGTTGCCATGTCCCTTAAAACACACAAAATAATCCAACAAAGTTGGCAGAGCAACTCTAAAACAAGTTTTAAAAAGGTGAAATGGGCAAAAATTGTCTCCCAAGTCTTTGATACTAATATGTTGGGTACCCTCAAATGACTTTTGGAGGCAGGCCAGTAGCACACATAAGATTACATTACTTCAGGTCAGGTTTTAATTATACCAGAAGCAACTTCCTGAATCTACATTGTTATGCAGGTTTCCCACAATCTCTCAATTAATAATCAGTTAAAATTTCAAGCTGAAATAGATATGTGGTACCGTAACAGCATGAAGTACTAAAGTTTTCTGCAAATAAAGTGTATGAAATTGATAACTTGATTTCAGGGTTATCTGCACATCAGGTTTAATAACTGGCAGCACAATATTGACATTTGTTTGGAAACGGACCATAATTTATTCAACATAAGAACGTCCATAGTGAGTCAGACCAATGGACTTAACTATCTTGAGTAATTTTGTATCATCTGCAAACTTTGCCACCTGTCTCCCAACAGTGGCCAATGCCAGATGCTTCAGAGGGAATTAACAGAACAGGGCAATCATCAAGATAGCCATCCCACATCATCCAGTCTCAGCATCTGGCAATCAGAGGCTAATGACACTTAGAGAATGGGGTTGCATCTCTGACCATCCTGGCTAATAGTCATTGATGGACCTATCCTCCATGAACTTATCTAGTTATAATGGGGTTCAAAAAAAGAGTTTTGGCCTTCACAACCGCCCTGACAACAAGTGCCACAGCTTGACTGTGTGTTATGTGAAGTACTTCCTTTTGTTTTAAAGCTGCTGCTTACTAATTACATTGGGTGACCCTGGTTCTTGTGTTATGTGAAGCAGTAAAAAACACTTCCTTATTCACTTTCTCCATACCATTCAAGATTTTATAGGCCTCTATCGTATCCCCTCTTAGTCCTCTTTTCAGCTTGGAAAAAAGTCTCAGTCTTTTTAACCTCTCCTCATACGGAAGCTGTTCAATATCCCATATCCTTGTTGTTGCTCTTCTCTGTACCTTCTCAAATCCTAATATCTTTTTTGAGATGGTGTGACGAGAACAGCACACAGTATTCAAGGTGTGGGCATACCATGGATACATATAGTGGTATTATGATATTTATTATGCCTTTCCTAATGGTTCCTAACATTGTTAACTTTTTTTTGACTGCCACTGCATATTGAGCAGATATTTTCAGAGAATTATCCACAAGGACTCCAAAATGTCTTTCTTGAGTGGTAACAGCTAATTTAGACACCATCATTTTGTATGTATAGTTGGGATTATGTTTTCCAACGTGCACAACATTGCATTTATCAACACTGAATTTCATCTGTCATTTTGTTTCCCAATCACCCAGTTTTGTGAGATCCCTTTGTAAATCTTCAATGCCAGCTTTGGACTTAACTATCTTGAGTAACTTAGCATCATCTGCAAACTTTGCCACCTGTTTACTCCTTTTTACAGATCATTTATGAATATGCTGAACAGTACTGGCCCCACTACAGATCCCGGGGGGACCCTGCTTTTCACTGTGATCATTTCTTTCGACCCTTTGTTTCCTGTATTTTAGCCAGTTTTTGACCCATGAGAGGACCTTCCCTCTTGTTCCACAACTATTTACTTTGCTTAAAAGTTTTTCATGAAGGACCTTGTGAAAGACTTTCTGAAAGTCCAATTTACACTATATCAACTGGATCACCCTTGTCCATGTCTGTTGACCCCCCTCAAAGAATTCTAAAAAGGATTGGTGAGGCATGATTTCTCTTTACAAAAGCCATGTTGACTTTTCTGCAACAAATGTTGTTCATCTGTGTGTCTGATAATATTGTTCTTTACTATAGTTTCAACCAATTTGCGAGGTACTAAAGTTAGGTTTACCAGACTGTAATTGCAAGCATCACCTCTGGAGTCTTTTTTTAAAAACTGGCATTACATTAACTATCCTTAAGTCATCTGGTACAGAAATTGACTTAAGTGATAGGTTACATACCACAGTTAGTAGTTCTGCAATTTCATATACAAGTTCCCAAAGAATTCTTTGGTGAATACCATCTGCTCCTGGTGACTTTTTACTGTTTAATTTATCAGTTGATCACTTGTATTTGCTGTGGGCTGTCTTTTTGGATTTTCATGATTGTGACCTGGTTTGACTTCAGCGTTTATTCTAAATTTTTCAAAATTTATTCTACTATTGAAGTTATTTTAATCACTAAATGGTACCTTACCAGAATACATCCTCCAACACATTTACAGGTAAGGGATGAGGATAAAACACTATGAAAAGCCTTTCCTTCACAGAAGTCTCAGGAGGAACTTTTTTTTTGCGTGATGGAAGTACAGCATCTGTTTGGGGCTGAGACAACTGAGAGCTAGAACTTCCACTGTACGGCTGCTGAAACAAAAATAAAATGTAATGAAAAAGGTAACATGAAAATCAAGTGAAAAATTCAATTTTATCTGATTTAGGACTCTGTTACTGTTTTAGGACACTAAAATCCTGGATTACATATGGGCTCTCTGACAGCCACACGATTAACTTATGTGTTTTTCTTGACTACCTCCCTGACAGTATTTTCCCTGGGCAATAAATCCAGTTAAGATCATATAACCTTTAAAAAGAGTACAGAAAAGCACAAGTCAACCCACCACACAACCAACCAACCAACCAACCAAATCAGCTCCTAAAGCAGTCAGAAGGGTAAGAGAAAAAAGATGGGACACAGCTGCTTATTGCACATTTCAAGGTTCTGCAACAATTGAGGAGAAACAACAAAGGTATAGAGTGTAGTTACTTACAGAAGATGTATATTGCTGACCAACTAGATTATTATGTGACACCATTGATGACACTTGTGAAGTCACCAGCTGTGTTGCCATTTTTCTGATGTGGCTGCAAGCAAAAGTAATCACAGACTCTGTCTTTACAGCAAAAAGTAACATTACTATAATCTTAAGAAATCAACATGACAATTTGTTTAAAATCAAAATTTTCAGAGAAAGAACTGATCAAGAAAATATCTATTCAGTCTTCCTTGATATGTGCTGAGAACATCCAGGAATAAGTAAATTGTTGCAAATTTATGTCAGTACTCTTGTTAAATCCAGAATACACTGAGATACCTGTAGCCCAATGTTCTATACTCTTTTCTGATAACACAGCCTTTCAGTTATCACTGTTGCTTTAATAGACAGAATATACACACCCAGCTCATGGAGTTAAACTCAGCTCTTTACGCTGCCTGAGAGAAGTAAAAATTAGTTTACTGGAAACATTATTTCTTCCCTATAATTTTCTTATCCATCTTGATAGTGAAGGTAAGACAATTAAATGTTTTGCTTGGACTAGCAAGTTTTTATATTTTGCAAAGCTGGAATAAGGCAAATCTCTTCACATTTTACAGTTGTGCGACTCTTGGAATTAGGCATTAACAGAAGCGTTAGAATGGCTTTACAGTATGGCCTGCTGGCTCACACTATATGCACTTCCACACACGCAAGTTATGTAGTTTCTCTTAAAGAGGACATGCAGAGGAAAAAATACTGGGCTATGCTTATTTTGGGGGTTTAGTTTTCTTGCTTCTTATGATACATAAACAATTTTTATTCTACTTTTTTTAACCTTATAAATATCAAGAGTATTAAATCACTGCCCTCCCAAGTTTGGCTGAAAGTCTGCTAGAAGAATTTGAGCAAAAAATAGCTCCCCTATCACTTAACTGAGCAAGAAATTACTCCTGGGGGAATTATGCACCACTAGTGCACATGCACAGAATTTATGTTCCCTGCAGATTTCTTTGCTTCCCTGCAGAAAGTGACTTTCTGACGGGGAAGCAAAGGGAAGCCACAAGAGCAGTCATGCTATGCTTCCCAGCAGTATGTTTCAGGTGCCCAGGGAAGCTGGCAGAGAGGTAAATCACTATGGGGCAGGACTGGGGAGGACCTGGCTGGTGGCTTCTATCCTGTGCCAGGATCAGCTGCTAGTTCCAGTTTGGCTGGGGAAGACAGGACTTCCTCTTCCCCTGCATGGCATCCGGGGCCAGTTCAGACCCACCCCACAATTTCTCCCCCAGCTGCAGGAAGTTCTGCAAACTCACACACATACTCTTCCTGCACCCATCGCACCTCAGCTGAAGGGGGAGGGATACCTGTATAGGGAGCTGCTCCCCCATCCACTCCCGTGCATCCAGACCCCCCTCATATCTCACCAAGCCTCACTCCCCTCGCACTCAGAAGCCCCCCGATGAGCCCCACTCCCCATGCATCTGGACCACCCTGACAAGCCACCTGCACCCGGATCCCCACCTCACCGAGCCACAACCAGCTGCACCGGGTTCCCCATTGAGCCCCGCTCCCACAGCATCCGACACACCAGACTGCCCCTGCCGAACTTTACCCCGCACCACACCCAGACCCACAACCACCTTCACCTGGACCTCCCTGCAGAGTCCCATTACTGTGGTACCCATAACCCCCAACAAGTCCCTGTGCAGCCAGATCCCCCTATACCCGGATCCCCCACTGAGCTGCCCGCACCCAAATTTCCCACACAGAACCCTCTGAACCCACACCTGGATCCCCCCATACTGAACCCCCTCCACACCTGGATCCTGTCTTGCTGAGCCTGCCTGGCCACATCTGGCATGGAGGGGATGGGCCATAGGGTGTTTCTAAGGCAGGCATGGTCCTTGCACTGTGTCAGGGTTGGGTACAGCCTCACCGCCGAGGTCGGTGTCCCGCGTGGTGAGCTACACAATGATCTCCCACCTCTGTGCAGCCAGTGGCCTGTGCTCCCCAATGCCATGCTGGAGCCTCCACATTTATTTGACAAATAAAATTTGCAGAATTTTAATATATTGTGTGCAGAATGTTTAATATTTTGGCAGAGAATTTTCAGGCGTAGAATGCCCTCAGGAGTAAGAAATGATGTTGAATCTTTAACAGTGATTTTTCACTCTTTGTCAGGTGTTTTGGTCAGGTCATTATCTATCTTCAGCTCTCTTCCCCTGATCTGCTCAGGTCCCCCTTCCTTGGTACTCACGCTGCCAAAATCCTACTAGCTCTACAGTCACCCAGAGTCTTCCAGGAAACAGTAGACAAAAGCCTGCTTCTAATATAAAACCCACTACCCCATTCTCAGATTTCTTTATACATCATAAGCTAGTAAAAAAGGTTCAATCACATTTTACAAGTCATCTTAAAATAAAAGGACTGTTTTATCTTTTAAATTTCCCTCTGTCTCTTGAAAAGTAGCAGCAATGTTTGGTGTCTCAAAAGGTCTTCTCTAGGATTGTGCTCTGTGTGGTACAGTGAAAGCCCACTGTGGGCTGGAAAAGGGTTAATAGACAACTAGTTACAGTACAGGTACAACAGATTACCTAATTAATTGCTTCCCAGTCACAGGGGCAGGACAGGAGACGTCAGGTAATAATTTAATGGACACTTGGGCTTCATAAAAGGGGAGAGAATTCAGTCTGAAGGGAGGAACCTCAAAGACTCTCGTGAAGAAGCCTGAGCAAGAGAATAGACACCTCAAAGAAATATTTACCTCGCCTTCCTTGTCTACCTCAAGGAGACACTTTGAAGGGCCAGTGCTCAAGGCCAAAGCTGGAGAGGACTCCACAGTAACTAAGGAAGAGACAGAAGACACAGCCCAGGAGAAGGGCAGATTGGTCGAGAGTCTTTTTGGACATTAACTTGAGCTTTTGCTTCCTGAAAGGGATTGGACTTCTGGAGGGCTGAGTTGTGCACAAAGCAGATGACCAACAAGGGGCACAGGAGATGAAGATTCCTGTAACTTTGCCCCTGATACCAGGGGGCATTGTAGTGGTGAGTGCACACCATAGCACCCTGAAATACCTTACATTTCAGAAGCATCCACTATATAAACAAAGTTGTACAGTGATAGATTTCATTTTCTTGTTTTTTCCTTTTTCCCCTTACCGTTATAACAACTTTTCAAAGAGAAACATTGCTCTCCAGAACACAGAGTTACAGCTTTTCACGTATGTGGGTTGGTACTTACTCCAATCCGTCACTCCCATCTTCAAGGAAAGTTACACCTAGCCGATTTCCAGGAGGATATTCAAAACCATGTAGCTTGTATTTGGCATATATAGCTGATGCTGCAGTAGTATACTGAATCACAGCATGCCCTAAGGATGGATGAAACATACCAAGACAATGTAGGAAGTGTGTAAGTTTAAATTCTCAAAAGCACTACTAAGAATAAAGTGTATTCCAACAACACAGCAGGGTTCGACACCAAATTAGTCACAAGCACTCAAATACAATGAAGTCTTTTTACTTCATCATCCAACTCATCTTTAGCAAAATCCATATTTCTGATGAGATATCAAGCAGAGTTAACTGGGTGACTGAACAAATCTTTACAGCTGAACCTCAAAATCATCTGATATTACTTCCTTTATAGAATGTCTATAAAAAAACTCCAGAAGTTAACAGATATGTATAACCACTAATTTGTACACAAATATTTTCCTTTTTAAGTGTAGTTATTCTCTGAAAGAAGTGATTAAAATGGCACTGTAGGGTTCCTGTTTGTTGTATCAATGATTTCCATATCAAATTTGTCAGCTTAAAAGCAGAGGTAGTTCTTGTAACCAGCAATTTAAGCCATTATGTTCTTTTGGATCATGCATCATCAATACTAATAATTCTGTACCAGCAATTTAGTTAACAATACTATTGATTATAATATAATCCAGCTCGTTCTCCCATAGCTATACTGGCTCTGCAGGGCTAACAATTGTAAAATCTTATTTTAAGACACCAGCCATACATTACTTTGAAGGCATGATGAGACTTCAACAAAGCAGACGCATGTTTTTTTTTCCTTAACAGAAATCCTACCCGTCTTTGATAACATCTCATCTGATGCAGAATCTATTAAGAAACAGCTTTCATTTGATTTTTGACTTCTGAGCGTATGAAATGTAGAGATGCTGTGGGTTGCTTCCCTACTTTGTAAATATTCGGACCTCTCAGGGATCTAGTTAGGGATAGCATGTAACTTGTCAGTCTAATAGGTCTGTTCAGAGGAGATGTGAAGTAGAAGGAGAACAGAGTGCAAGACCAAATGTATGTATCTGCCACTGACAAAGGGCTACATCATTCTGTATTGAGAAGGAAGAGAAAATATTTTAGAGTCAAAACAGTAAAAAGAAAGAGGTTCTTTTTGTTTTGTTATTTACCATGGTTAGTATGAGGATCTCGCTGAACATCACAATACTCCAGTCCTGGGACTAGATCAAAGAGGAAGAACAGCTGCTCTTGTATGAAGGGGAGTCGTGATACCACTGACAGGCGTTTGGAAACGGATTCTCGAACTCTTGTCTGACTCTTTTCAAAACTACCAAATTCTGGCTGCCCTTCTCAAGAACCAAAATAAGACACATTACACACATTGCAAGTCACTATACTGCTGTACCTTGACCATTTCAATATTTTTTTTCCTAAAATGTTTCTAGGACCTAAGTCATGTTATAATAAAAAAAGGACATTTATTTCAGACAACGAATGCAAACGCCAAATGGGAAAAAAAAAAACCCTGAACAATCTAGAAACTAAGTGTCTGAGTTAGAACCAACAACCAAAAACCTGGACCTACTATTTTAAATGTCTCCATTTTGCCTTTCTCTGAATATACCTCTATTTCCATAACACCCTTTCCAGCTACTGTGTGATCTTATCCAGAATTACCAGTCACTGTTAACGTGAAAAGTTATTACTTACCAAAGGGAAACACACTCCCTCTAGGCCCTGGGTCATGCCCCATTGGCTCCTGCCTCATACTACTGCTACTACCGTAATATTCACGTTCAGATGATTCAGATGGTTTGCTTTTAGGTTCAGCCAAAATGGCCCTGTAACCTGGAACAAGTAACCACATATTTCAAATTTCACCACGTAGTTTTCAAACATCTATGACTAGAAATGTTCTTTAAGCCTTGTATTGAAAAACATTACAGACAGAAAAATCAGTTACTGTTTCTTTTTTTAAAAAAACCTATTCTATCACTCATGAAGACTAATACAATTAGAAGATTGGAAGCAACATAACCCATTTCTATCCCATTCAGAAGTATAGCACCCAAAGATCATCTTGGAAATACTTGGCAGAGAGGCAAGAAGTAGCTGGACATCTATGCAGCCTCAGTCTACCTTTGCCTACCAAGACCTGTGCTGAATTAGGCACCACATCTGTGTAAGCTATTTGGTCTGGTCTCAGACCATCTAAATCCTTTCATTCTGACCTCACACTGGACATGGACCTGGGTTTAAAGAAAAATACTAAATTTGTTAACAGTGTGCTGATACAACCTTAAGTCTCATTAAATGAAGTGTTTGTGGGTCTTAATTTTAGTTATGTCTTACTACCTTATTCCTAATGATAAAAAATAGGTGCTTAATTGATATTTGTGATTAATTGGGCACTACATAGTCCAAGATTACACAATTTATTTATTTCACTATATTAAAAACATACCAGTCCACTGTTTTGGGCACATGTACCATCTTTATAAAGTATGATACAGCTTTTAGATAGTGGTTTTACACTGTCCACCACAACTCACTCAGAACTAAACTTTACCACACCTTGTTTATACTAATTTGTTTGCAAATTTGTCCTCTGGCTTTTTGTAGGCCCACACAGGAAGATTTGAAGAACATTTATTGAAACCACAGTAACCATGTCAGCACTACTGATTATCTAATATGTTCAATAAGGCTTTATGCTGAATATTGGTCTTCCCTCTTGGCTGTGTGTGTAAAAGGATAAAAAGAAAAACATCACAGATCTGAGAAGCATGAAGCACTACAGAAAAGTGTATTTTATTATTCCCATTTTACAGAGGGAGAAACTGGGGCATGAGAGGTTAAATTAATTGCCAATGTCACGGGAATTCTAGTTCTGTCAATCCTGTGCTCTAAGCACTAGACAACAACTTTAATGGCAACAAATGTTAAATCATAAGACTAAGTGTGCTATATTCTGAAAATAGTAAAACATGCTATTATTAGTATCAAATGCAATTTTGTTTAAATAGCTGTAGTCATAATACATTTTACTGTTGTGTTTGTGATTATATATTCCTTTTATTTTGAGCATCCCCTGATAAAGTCATAAAAGTTCATCTGCATAAAAAAATGTGTGTGTGTACACGTACATGTACGTGCTGCACTAGAGTCAGGCTATTTTACATCAACAGAAGTCACTGTAGTTCATTCCCAAAGCCCTTTCATGGTTATTACTTTAAATCTAAGACCTTGATCCTGCAAGTACTTCACAGGTGACTAGTCCCATTGAACTTAACAGTACTACCTGCATGCATTGTTTACAGTATTAGGTTCTGCAAACTATGGCCATCAATGCATTTACAGCATAAATAATTTTGCTGCTAATAAAACCGAAGCCAGAGGCTGCCATACTTGAACCTACACTAATGAGTTCACAGTTTCTCATAATAAATAAGTGGGGGAAAAAAAATCAGTCACAGTCTTACTTCGATCACACTCTTCTATTGCCAGGGCAGCTTGGGATGGTTTTAAATACCTCACATAGCCCAAACCTTTACTTTCTCCTGTGGTCTTCTTCTTAATAATGCTACAATATTCAATGTCTCCATACACCTAGGAGATTTAAAAATTGTAAAAACAATTTTATCCAACATTTCTGAAGTTCATAAAAATTTACATTTTAATCTACTGTCAAAAATAACCTGAGAAAATGCAGTTAGATATGATGAATAACTAAAACTCAACCAGTACCTTAAACTTATTCCTCAGATCTTCCTCTGTATAGGACTTTGGTATCATAACAAAGATGCGTGTAAGCTCTTCATCTTCAACATCGCGGTGGCTTCCAGAAGCTCTGGACTGCGCAATGAACACCTAACAGAGTTAAACACAATGTTAATTACTTGAGAAAAGTGTAAATATACACAGATAGTCAAGAAAAATAATTTAATGTCTTCAAAACAGCTTTATGCTTATATTTACATTCTCTGACTACTCCTGTGGCCAAAAAAAAAAAAAAAAAAAGCCGTTCACTGTAAATGTACTCTGACAAAAGACCTGCCTGCCTCAAACATGTACATCTGTACACAGTCAGGGACCCAGATGAGAGATCCACCCACATGCTCCCACATGAAGAATTGTGGTTCATTCTTCAGTCATTATAACCCACCTTCCAAAAGCCTGTCATGAGTTAAGCACTTGGGAGCAGCGTAACTGGCTCGTCAATGAGTTACACCAGTGTTGTCTGGCTACCCTGCCTCCTTCACAAGACCTGGAAGGGCAAGAAATTTTGAAAGGGCACCTACGCATGGTGGAGGGGGAAGAACATGAATACCTAGGCTGGCCTACTATTAGCAGCATTAATACTGGCACAGATGGCTCTTTAAGCATGCACTGATGTACACTGCAGTAAAAGGATGGACTACTTCATAGCAGATCCATGATTGTAGCCATTTTGTTTAAAAAACAAACATGGATCACTGGACGATAGCCTGCTCTGTTCGTTCCCTCTGAAGCACCTGGCATTGGCCATTGTCGGAAGACAGGATACTGGGCTAGGTGGATCATTGGTCTAACCCAATATGGCCATTCTTGGGTTCTAAAGAAAAGAAAAGAAGAAAAAAAAAATTGAACAAGTAGTATACCAAGGCCCTGATACTGCAGTGTGTACTAACTTGAATGGGAATCCACTTATGTGGGGCTCAGCACAGGTCAAGACCTAACTTCTCATGGTCATAATTATAGTCATAACACTTTTCGTGTATATTGCACCTCTCTTCAGAGGATCACAAGGCACACAAAAACCAGTTGGAAAGTAACCTCACTTTAGAGATGGGAAAACTCATTCACAGCTGTTAAATGACTTGCTTATGGCCATACAGCCTGTGGCAGAATAAGGAATAGAGTCCTAAGCGTTTAACTCTCAAGGCTTGTCTACACTACAAAATTAAGCTGACTTTATCTAATTTGACCTCGAGCCTCTGAATTAAGTTGATTGTGCGTGGCCACACCATGCTCATTGTCTCGATGGAGTGTGTCCTCACTAGCAGTGTCTGCATCGATGTACAAAGCAGTGCATTGTGGATAGCTATCCCGAAGTGCAACTTGCCGCAGTGTGTTTTGGGAAGTTTGTGCAATGCCTCATGGGACCAAAACATTGTCACAAGGGAGAATGGGAACATTGCGTTGGCACCCCCTGATGCACTGTGCTCCCTCCCACAGTGGTTTTCGGGCCTTAAAACTGCCACGCATACGCCATAACCCCAGAAGCATGGAGCCTGCTCAGTTGTACACTCTTGCTGTGAGCATCTCAAACACCTTGCACCTTCTCCTGCAGTATTTCCAGAGCTAAAGTAGGGTCCGCCACGCAGAACGTAGCAATGTCCTGCAAGCAGCCCTGCTGCAAGCCATTGGAAAAAAAAATTCACGGTTGCTGCTGGAAGTCACAGCTGCGGTGGGGCAATAGATGGCATGCAAATCCCCAGCTTGGCACCAGATCACCTTGCCAAAGAGTACACAAACCAAAAGGGATAATTTTCAATGGTGTTACAAGAGCTGTTGGATCACAGGGGACGTTTCACCAACATCAACGCAGGATGGTTGGGAAAAGTTCATGACGTGCATATCTTTAGGAAATCAGGTCTGTTCAAAAAGCTGCAATCCAGGGCTTTCTTTCCAGACCACAAAATGAACATTGACAACGTTGAGATGGCTACAGTTATCCTGGGGGACCCAGCCTATCCCTTGCTCCCAGGGCTCATGAAGCCATACACGGGCCATCTGGACAGCAGTAAGGAACGGTTCAACTATAGGCTCAGCAAGTGCAGAGTGGTGGTTGAATGTGCCTTTGGTCATTTGAAAGGGCACTGGAGAAGCTTATTAACAAGTTTGGACCTTATTGAAGAGAACATTCCCATGGTTATAGCTGCCTGCTCCATAATATCTGTGTATCTGCCAGGCTTTGAAAATCTGTTTCAATAATGAGTCACAGTAATGTGAGCTGCTTGTCTGCATTGTGCTTTCCCAAACCTTTACCTGGAATGTATCACTGCCCCGTAAAGCCAACCCTCCGCCCAAGCCCACGGCTTCTACTCAATAAAAAAACATTTATTTCTCGAATTCATTTACTTTATTTAACAAACATAAATAAAGAGGGAGAACAGAAAAAAAGGTAACCTTGAGGAAAAGGGGTTATAATGGAATGGAATGGGAGAAACATTTTCAGCTGTGTAACATAACACCATCAAAGGTCTGTGAATTGGCACCTTCTGTTCCTTGTACCCTCCCCTGAGTTAAGTGAACGGGGTAATGGACTTTTCACCCACGCCTCATGGAACGCTTGGGGGAGGGTGATTCTCTGTCAGGCGATGCTGGCTGGCTGTCCATCAGGTCTACAGAGGAACTCTACCCTCCTGCTTCTGTTCCTGCAGTTCAATCAGACGCCTCAACATGTCTGTGTGGTCCTTCATAATCCGAAGGATCTCATGCTGTGCTGCATGCTCTTGGTCACTGGAAGCTTTCCTGCTCTCAATGTCCATGTCTAACTTCTCAGACAGTGAAATCCTCCACGCTTTCAGCTGTGTCAGCTGTCCTAGAGACATTCATTATCTCGGTGAACAGGTCCTCCCACGTTCTCTTTCTCCTCCTTCTAATCAGTGAAAGTCTGCTTTCAGGTGTTGATGACACACCGAAGGACACATTTCCAGCTGTCAGTCATGGGAAAAAATAAAGGAGCCCTTGTACATGAATAAAATGTTTCTATAGCAAGGCCATTTTCATATAACAACAACAACAAAACACCACCACCTTATTACACTAGGCGCAAGCCATAATATAATCAGAATCCGCAACTGTTCACTGTGTCGTTTTGCTGCTCCAGTCAGGGTGAGTAGGCCCCCCCAAGTCACGGGTGTCCACACTTTTAATTAAGTTTATGGCAGGCTCATGTCGGGAGCAGAGGTAGATAGTTGAACAATGGCCCTTCCCCATAGCACCATAGGAAACTGTTTACAAACTGGGCACGGGGGAAAACGTTTTCACTCCCAAACTGCAGAATCTCTCATGTGGGGCCCCAGTCCCCTATCAAACACTTTAAACTACATGCCGACCCATGCCGAGCACAGTAAAGGCACATTAGCAGCTGTGTGGTTTAGCGATCCAGAATGCGTGTGTGTGTGTGTGTCTACATACCTTTTTTTTCCTTGTAAGGCTGCTTTTAAAGAGAACTTCCCCCGTTTCCCCTAGGCGACCCTATGTGATATTGGTCTCCTGAGAGTAACAGAGGCGGAAAGGAAGGAGATGCTGCAAGCATCTCGGTACAGACCCGGTCCTTATGATAGCAGTCCCGGCTGCTATGCTGTGTACCGCAATGATGCCAACAGAAATAATTCAGGAGTTGCGTGGGAAAGTGTCTTATCATGGTGGAAGAAATAAGACTGCCCTGCCCAGAAACCTTCTGCAAAGGATTGCAGAGTACCTCCATGAAAGTTTCCTAGAGATATCCATGTAGGATTCCCGGGCTAAGTCCACATAAACAGTCTTTTCCAGGGGCCACTCTCTGCATAGCTGGAGCGGCCTCTTGTAAGCAGAGAGCCACAGCACCTTGCTTTTTCCTCACAGTAACCTTGCCAACCGCCGAATGTGTGTGCCCGTTAAAGTTTAATTGAACTTTGATTGTAACTATATACTCACCAGAGGTGCCTTCCATGGCGTCACGGTTGGTCACCGTGATGTCTTGCGACCCACAGGGCTCCAGGTTAAAAATATTTCCTGGCTCTTGGGGAGAGTGGATCCATCACTCGCCTGTCTCCAATTCTCCTCCTCCTCATCTACCATATCGTCCTCCTTGTTGTCCCTAGACTCACACACCTGTGAGGTGCCCACGTTGCTTATGGGGGTGCTGGTAGGGTCACTCCCGAGAATTGCATGCAGCTCGTTGTAGAACCGGCATGTGTGGGGTTCAGCACCAGAATGACCGTTTGCCTCCCTTACCTTCTGGTATGCTGGGTGAAGTTTTATTTTCACACGGCACTGCTGTGTGTCCCTCGTGTAGCCCTTCCCCCCCATTCCACGAGCGATCTTTGCATAGATGTCAGCGTTTCTTCTGCTGGATCAGAGCTCTGCCTACACAGACTCTTCTCCCCACACAGCGATGAGATCCACCATCTCCTGTTCAGACCAGGCTGGAGCATGTTTGGGGCATGCAGTCTCCATGATCAGCTGTGCTCAGGCTGGCATGCTCCCAATGATGATCAAACAGGAAATGGGAAATCAAAAATTCCCAGGGCTTTAGCAAGGAAGGGGCTGTTTCCTGTGTACCTGGCTGTAGTGCAGCAGAGTTGAGAATGATCTCCAGAGAGGTCACAGATGAGCACTGTGGGACACCCTCTGAAGGCCAATTAATTCAAATTACACAATGCTGCGTCTGTACTACCTCGCAGTTGACCCATGAAAATCTAATTAAGTGCTACGCCTCTCGCAGAGGTGGATTACAGAAGTCGACATTAAAGGCAACTTAGGTTGGCATAAAGGACCTGGTAGTGTAGAAACATACATTAACAGGTCAACTTAAGGCGGCTTCCATCGACCTAACTTTTTAGTGTAGACCAGGCCTCAGTCATGTGTGCTGTTAAAAGATCATCCTTCCTCGCATGATGATGTCCTGTCACACAAGAAACGTTACCACTTTTCTCACTGTTTAGACTAATTTACCTCATCTCATCATTTAGATAACAGTAAAACAATTCAAGAGACTGAAAGTGGTCATCAACAGCAAATCATTACTGACTCTCATAGATAAAAATGTGAAATTACTTTGATAAAAACTTTCCATATTGCTTTAGCAGAGATTTAAAATACCCTCTGTTATTATTCAATTCATTTGTATCAATCTCAAGAATCTTTACAAATTTTTGAAGAAGAGTTTCTGAACACCCTGAAATCTAGTATGTTAAAGAGTAAACACTAGTTCCAGGGACTAGGTCTTCCCCTAAGCCTCCCGTTGTGGTTTTATGATCATAATTCCCTTTATCGAAATGTTTCTCTCTCCCTCCTATCGCTGTGCGGAAAACTCACAGGAATAAGGGAAAGCTGCTGCCCACCTATAAATGCGGCTGCACTTATAATTGCCAAGTGCCTCAAACAGGCAAACGAAGGAGAGGGAAGGTTTTCGTCTCTCGTTCTGGAGACGAGGGGACGCAGAGTGAAGTGTGAGTTTCACCTTCTCCGAGGCGTTTAGCTAAAGCATCTTTCTCTCCGCAGCAGAGACTATTCCTGGCGGCGAGGGAAGGAAGGAGGCACGCAGCTGGTTAAGGCCGAGGTGACTGATCGCCTTACGGCACTATGCTGTGGCGCCCGGCCCTACGTTGGGACCGGCGGGAGGGGAGAGGCAGTGGCGGGCTCTCGTCACCCTCACAGCCCGATCAGACAGGTCCTGGGCAGCCCGCGTCGTGAGACCGGAGCGGGGGCGGCTGCGCTGGGCCGGGCCCCGCCGACCCAGGCCGCGAAGGGGAGGAATCCGCGGCCTCGCTGCGCCCCCGTCGCCACCTGCCCCCAGGACCAGCCTGCGCCGGGGGACGGGAACGGGGGAGAAGCGGCTGCGCGGCGGGCGGGCCGCGCTGGGCCGGTACCTTGATGGGCTTGGTGTCGGGCGCCAGGCTCCGGCCGTGCATCTCCTCCATGGCCCGGCAGGCCTGCGAGCTGCGGGCGAACTTGACGAAGGCGATGCCGCGGGACTCGTGGGTGCGCTTGTCCCGCACCAGCCAGATGTCCTGGATCTCCCCGAACGGGGCGAAGCGCTCCCGGATCAGCGCCTCCCCCGTGTCCTTCCCCAGCACCAGGAACACGCGGCTGTTGGGGGGCTCGTCCAGGCACTCGGCTGACAGGCGGAACCCGCCGCCGCCGCCCTCCTCCATGGCGAAGCCGCCCACCCCGAGACTAGTCCGCAGCCTTCAGCGCCAGGCCGCCGGACAACAGCGTCCCTTCAGCCCTGGCGCCTGGGCGTTACTGCGCCTGCGCGGTAACCGCTGCCGACGCTGCCTGCTGTCCACGCCGTGCCCTCGGAAAGTTATTCCCCCGCCGCTGCGAGCGGGGCCAAACCGGTCCATGGGCTGGCTTCGCACCGCGCGGGGATGGGCAGGAGCCGGCGTCATGCAAGGGGGAGATGCGCTGCTAGACAGTGGCGGAGGCCAGGGAAGGTAGCGCGGGATGGGAGTCGCTAGAGGCAGGGAGCCCGCTGCGCAGGTGCCAAAACGGGGTGTGGGTGGCACACTTGTGTAACTGCTGGATGGTCCAGCTCAACACCCCTTTCCCTGGGTGTGGTGCTAAAGGCAGCCCAATGACTAGATACAGCCACTCTTCTCGAGCTGATACAATGCAGTGCCCTGCCAAAGGAGATATTCTTCAGTGGAAAAAAAAGGTACACATCCACCCTCCTAAAAAATTTCATGTGTGGTTGTTGGTGGTTAAAATAATTGAGAGTTTGTGTAGGTGTAAAATGTCTGCAATGAGTCTCAGAGCAGCTCCCAGATGTATCCTAGTTGCTGTTCTGTGAGCCTGAATGGTGCTTCATTTTCTGTAATCCACTGCACATATCATTTCTCTCCATTTATTTATTTATCTAAACGTTATGGTTTTATGGCTTATTCTTAGCACACCATCATTTATCTTGATTAACACTGTGCAGATGAATGTTATTTAATGTATTATTTAATATTAAATACTCAGCTCTCTAAGTGGTGCTTTTCAGCAGTAGATCTCACAGCACTTTTACAAAGTCTCAGGGCCCAATCTGGTAGGTAGATTGCATGTAAGAGGAGGGGGATCAGCCACCTGGAGGATCCCACCAGGCTTTAGGCAGGAGCTGCGGCCTCAGGACTAAGGTGGCTTTGTGTATGCTCACCAGCATAAAGTTAGGTACCCAGGGAATTTAGGCATCTACAGGATTAGGGGGAAGCTCGGTGGGGGTTTTGAGGATCTCAGTTTTTGATTTGGGCACATAAAGTAGTAAACAGGCACCTAAATCCCTTTGTGGATCTAGCTTCTAAAATTATTTTCAGAAGCATTTGAGCAGGTTAGGTGCCTAAGTCCCATTGAAATTAATGGGTTAGGTATCTAGCCTTGTTAAGCGCTTTTGAAAATTCCACTAGGCACCTGTCTGCATTTTTAGACATCTAAATAGCTCTGGAAGTCTGGGCCTTTGTTTCTAGCTGTATGATCTTGCCTATGGCTGTATTAAAAACATTTTGTTTGAATGGGCACAGCTTACCAAACAATATAGATCACTCTGTATGACTGCCCTGTCATCATTATATCATCTGCAAATTTTATCAGCAGTGATTTTGTATTTACTTTCAAGTGATAGATAAAAATATTGAATAGCATCAGGCCTAGTACTCATCCCTTTGGAACCTCACTAGAAAACACTCCCACTAGACTACCAAGTCATTATCACTCTCTCTCTGGCTGAATGCATTTTTAATTATTTATACACAGTGGAACAGCTTTAACAGAAGATACAAAGACCTAAATCAAAATATCCCATAGCCCAGTAGTTAGGGCATTCATCTTAGAGACAGGAAACTCATGTTCAAATTCCTTCTCAGATGGTGGGGGAAATTGAACTAGGATCTCTTGCATCCCAGGTGAATTCTATAACTGCTGAGCTAAAGGATATTTCTGTCTCCTTCCACATTTTGTGTGCTGTTAGGTATGCACCACCACTGTTGTTTCAAGAAACCACTTAGATATTTGACTCCAGGAGAGGTTTCCTAACTGTGAATCTCAAGAAGCAATAGGACACCTAACTCCCTAAGAGGGGGAGGGTTAGGCCACACCCCTCTCCTCACCATCTGCTACTGGCTAGTTTAGGCAGCTCTCTACCTAATCTGCTGGGTTTTGTGGATCCCATTCTCAGGTGCTTATCTCTTTGAATCCATTCCTGGTAGGGAGCCCAGGTACCTGCCTGCGGGTTTGTTGATTCCACTGTGTGTTTAGGCACCTAAAATGTAGGTGCTGCAATGCTTACTATTACACAGCCTAACTCCTTTTGTGGAGTTGGACCTGAATGCTTCATAATTTTTAATGACAGGTTTCAGAGGAACAGCCGTGTTAGTCTGTATTCGCAAAAAGAAAAGGAGTACTTGTGGCACCTTAGAGACTAACCAATTTATTTGAGCATGAGCTTTCGTGAGCCACAGCTCACTTCATCAGATGTGTACCGTGGAAACGGTACACATCTGATGAAGTGAGCTGTGGCTCACGAAAGCTCATGCTCAAATAATTTTTAATGTATTTATGCTCACTACACCCCAGTGAGGTAGGGAAGTCCTATTAGCCCCATTTTATAGCTAGGAAACTGAGGTAAAGAGAAACTATGGAACTTGCCTAAAATCACAAAAAATCTGTAGCAAAGCAAAGGTCTGGCATAGCAAAGAGGAGCTACTTACATTTGATCTACACTCAAACACGGAGCGTACACCACACAAACCACAACAGACTTGCAAATTTTATCACCATTTCACCCTTGTCCTGAGGATTTCTTCTAAGATACTGCCTTAACTTACCCCTCACTATGCCTCAGAGACTACTATAATGTATGCCACAGGAATGTTGTCAATCCCCATGGCCAGAGGACCCTCTAATGCACCTCTGCTGACACAACCTACAGAACTTGGTGCTGAAATAAGGCATAATTGATCCATCAAGGTACACATGCTCCTCTTGTCACATCACAGTGATAGGTCCGCCAACCTGCTCTCACTAATCCTTCCATCATTCAATACAACTACACTCAACATAGTGAATGCAGCTGGAGTGCATGCAGATAAATTCTGAATTTCAAATCTGTGGAACACAACACACCACAAACTAAGGCAGTCTTGGTTTTCTCTGGTCTACTTATTATAGCAATGCTGTTCCTAAACCACTCCCACTGGCTCTTGCCAGCCCCAGGGAACAGAGGTTAAAATTTAATTCAGAATTAATGTCACAAGGATTAAGGAATGTGAAAGGCGAGAGGCAGCAGATTCTGTCAGATTTTGCTACTCCTATATCTACGAAGAAGGGGATGCATTTTTATGGGGATACAAAAAACAAACAAACCAACATACACACAGAAACCCCAACACTACAGTGTCAGTTAGTAGCAAATCCTGATTGAATGTACTTTCTGACTCTATCCTGCTACAGACACCTCCGGCTCTTGTCAGGGACCAGCAAAAAATTACCAGACCATGTCCTGCATCTAGACAGCAGCACAATGCAAAGTCCAGGCCCACTTCTGCTCCAGCTATGGCCCTGTCCTACATTCATAGGGCCTGGCAGAATGGTCTCTGCAGTATCATCTAGTCCAGTCTAATGGTAGGAGTCCTGCCACTTCCTCCTGTCAGGGAGATTCCCCAGTGCCCTCCCTACATACTCCCTCTCTCACGCCTCTTGTCTTTTATTGCCCTAGATACCCCTGCTGGCTGTTCCAACCTCATTACCATAATGGCTGACTGTTTACAAAAGAGGGAGGAGATCCTTTTGTTGGCTTGAGATAGCTGGAGAGTGTATTGCAGCACGAGTAACAGCAGCTTCTTCCTGCCTACCCACAGGGATTTCTTTACCATCATGAAAAGAAAAGGAGTACTTGTGGCACCTTAGAGACTAACCAATTTATTTGAGCATGAGCTTTCGTGAGCTACAGTAGCTCACGAAAGCTCATGCTCAAATAAATTGGTTAGTCTCTAAGGTGCCACAAGTACTCCTTTTCTTTTTGCGAATACAGACTAACAGGGCTGTTCCTCTGAAATTTACCATCATGGGTGCTGGCAATGTGCTCTGGCAGGAATGAGGACTAACAGGCACATATTTACCCTGTGAAAGATACACACTTCCCTTCCTCTGGAGCTGCTATATAGAAGCTTTAAAATAGACTTAATGGATTTCCCTACTGACTGGGTTGCAGGTGGGTATGGTTGGGAAGAAGCTGGGAATGAGAGACAAAGTGTGTTTTGGGGGGGCTTAGTGCAATCTGCCCCACTCCCCAGTTCTAGTAGAGGCAGGCGCTGGGCCGGCGTCAAAAAAAATCTAACAGACTTTAATACAACATCCATCACTCATTGAGATGCTCCCTATGCTACATATTTTGGTTTCCCCTCTTCATCCCATGGGCTGAGGATGATGGATAGCATTCCGCCTCCTCAGAACAAAACTTTAGTGTCATAGGGAGATGGCTACAGGTCCTGTTGCCCGTGGGCACGAATTCTCAGGACAGAACTCTGGGGGGTGGGGGGGAGAAGGGCTTCTAAGAGCTTAGTAGGAGCCAATAGCATCACTACATCTCCTGCAGGCAGTTGGGCAGAGAAGACACTACTTTCCAAGTGCCGTTAACGGCGACACCTGGCGACGCAGATGGTAGGTTCCAGTCTCTAAGGCCCGCCCCCGGGCCCATGGGTGCACCAATCAGCAGGCGGAGTGCTGAATTATGCGGTCTGTGATTGGATGATTCTATTGTGACGCACACTCCTTCCCCCGGAACGGGCAGAGAGTGCGAAGTGGCTGCGGGGTTAGTTATTGGGGCTGTTCCCGCCAGTGAGAGCGGCGAGGGGTGGGCTCATCTGCGGGTGGGAGGTACCGGGGGAGTGGGCTCATGCAGCGGGGCGGGGTGGCCAGTCCTGAGGCCGCGGCTCGCTGCGGGCTGTAGCGTAGGCGGGGACTGGGCGGGTGCGGGTGCGGGCATGGGCAAGGAAGCTTTGGAAAGGGATCCACCTGTCAGCTCTGAGGCGGAGGCCCAGCTGCGCCCGGGGTGCGGGATCTTGGTGGAACAGGAACCCTAGGGAGCATCCATAGGCACCTCCCTGTGCTCTGCGTGCGAGGGACTTCCTGTGGGGTCTCCCTTGCAGGACTTTGCGGGGGGGGAAGAGATTACCTATACTTCAGGGACTGGCGCTCAATGTTTTCCTGCCACATGCTAGTGCTCCAGGGCTTAACATCCCATGAAAAGGGATCACTGTAATCATTGCACAGCTTGATACATCTCTCCAGCAGGAAAATCTTCCTACCATGCAGTCAGAAGTTTACTTAATTCCTTCCAGTTACCGCTATTTCCACCTGGTGGTACTAACTTATATAACCCCACCCCCGTCCCCCTTTAAATTTACACCTTTCACATAGTTGGTTGTGTTTCTCACCTCTTTCCTGCCCTTGTTCAGCCACATGATGCATCATTTTTAAAACGTTTTCAGCATAATTGTTCATATAATTTTAATGGGAACTTCCTTACTTGCAGAACATAAAGAGCACACTTAAAGTCCTACATAAACTCTTCAGCCATAACATAGTAAAAATCATACATGTGCTGCTTGTTTGCAAATGAAATTGTTTGGAATTCAACTTACTTTTACCCTATATTTAAGTACCAGGGATGTGCTCAACATACAGTCCTTCCCCTGAAGAGCTAGTCAACTAAAGTGTGGGGAATCACGCTTTATTCTCTTTTAAAATTTTAATTAAGCATTTTTAAAAGTCTATACTGATTTTCTGGCTATAGAAACAATTACAAGTAGACTAGTGATGAAATATGATTTGACATGTATACATGACTCTTCTTTCCCTCCCATTCTGCTTAATTGTGAATTGCCTATTGCGTTCTGTAATTTTTAACTTTCTATCTAGGTGTCAGCTTCAGTTTAATTTAAACTAGGATGGTAATTAAGACTGATATTTTATTCTTGTTTATGTACAGTTTTGGGACCCTTTAAAGACAAGATTTCTTATTCTAGTTTCAGCTGGAATGTAACCTTATCTATCGGGGACTCAAGTAATCAGTTTCTGGACTGAAGGTAAAGGCTGCCAGTCACTTAATCAGCTGTTACAGTTCCCAGCTCTGTCAAACTGAGGTGTTTCCAGCTGTGGTGATTATTCAAAGAGTTTTTTTATATTAAAAAAATAAGTAGGGGAATTATGGTAGGGATTAGATTAATGACTCAGAAGAGAGTCCCCTTAACTTCCGTAATGTCTGTGCATGAGCAGAACCTGAGGTACCTTCCCTGCATGTGCCAGCTATGTCACTTTGATGTTCCTTTGAAACACTGGCATATCAGAGGAGAGCTACTGCTTTCCATTGCAAACAACATGGAAGTTAAATTGTGCTGGATTAAAATGGGTTAGAGTCAGAAGAATTAGTATAAACATATTGTGTGGTCAGGGTGGTTAAAAAAATCCATTTTAAAATGGATTTTTTGTTCAAAAGTTGGATTTTATTTAAGTTACAGGTTTGTTTTTAAAAATAAATTTAAATAAAATTAAATTTGAAATTGACAGCCTGTGTTAAGGCCTACGCTTACTACAGTCTACTAAATAATATTAAGCAGTATATATCTGCTGCCAAGTTTTAAAGAAAGTTAAACCACTGAACTGGTAGAAGTCACCAGCTAAGCATCTGGAACAAGATCTTGCTGAAGTGCTAAATTAGCTTCTGACAGCAGTAGCCTCTTCTGCAGGTACAGACAGAGTATTTTTTTCACTTAAGTAGTTCTGGTCAATGACTAGTTCATTCAAAGTTAAGAAATCAAATGGGAGTTGGAGGGGAAAAAAGGCAAGAAAGTTTGTTTTCCTCTGAAAAAACTAGGTGTGAAGATGAGATCTACTAGTCTAAAATCTTGAACAATCACTTAAATTCACAACTGAGATATATTTTCTTTGTTTAATAAATCAGTTTTAAGTGCAAGATATATTTTTGTATCCAGGACGTTTAAGGTAGTTTTATTTAGTAAGACAATTGTTGTTTGTGTATTTAACAGAATTTGCATTTACATCCAAAGAGAGCTTGACGGGGGGGGGAGTCACAAGTAAAAAAAAGTGTGTATATAGACACATTTTCTAACAATGTAAAAATTAAGAATCTGAATAACAGTTATATAATTGCTTGTGTGTGTGTATATATATATGTAGAGTATCTTCCTGCTTAGCAAAAATTAAAATAAAATAAAATAGAAAGCTCCACATTTAGTGTAAAGGCTGTATTTAGTTGCAAATCAATATTCTTTGTTACCAATCAATGAGAATCAACCTCTCTTTCAAAAAATAACAAAGGTACAAATGAAAAGAAAATTAATCTTGGTTTTCTGCTTGGTGAATTCAAGTCATAATTAAAAATCAGCAATTTAAATTATTTTGATTTAAATCAATCCACTGTGTGTGGTTCTGTATTCTCTTAAAATTACTTCAATTACAGATTTCTTCAGTTCACATGTCAAAAAGTTACTTTTTCTAACTGCCAATGCTACAGACTCAATATGGGAGAAAACAGAACAAAAACCCACAGCTTGTTTTTAAATCTTGTATATAATCACCAGTAACAGTTTCCACAATTAATTAATTCCACAATTAGCTGACAATTTTCCTGCTGTATGAGACAAAATAAAATGGTTTGCTCATTCATAGTTATAGTAGCTTTCTAGTGCCTACTGTAGTCAGTTTCCTTTTATTTAGTAAAGTAAATTAAGTATGACTTAAAAGCAGGGAACAGATGCCTTGAATAAGGCCCATCTCTGCATAATCATGTTGAGGTTTTCAAACGCACTAACTCTGGGCCTAACTCTGCTTCCACTGTAATCAATGGCAAAACTGGTTGACTTTGGTAGGAGCAGGGTTAGGCCAGAGTTAGTGCTTTTGAAAAAAAAAAGAAAATTTAAACCTTAACTCTGATTGGCATCTCTTGTAAGTTTGAACTTCATTGTGTTTCTTAATTTATTTTTTGTATGTTTGCACTTGAAACTGTGAACAGTCCTCCTGTTACAGGTGGAAAAAGGAAAGTTGGTAGGTAGGTAAAGACCAAAACAGAGGGCCACATTGTGCCCTGATGATCCACAAGTGACTGGGGACTTTTCTGTACATGAGTCTTCCCCTATTTATCAGCATCTTCTATGGTACCTTCCCTTTGGAAACTTTGGAGAGCCCTGGAGGATTGTGGATCCATTTATGGGATAGCAGGATGTTAGGCTGGCTCCTCTATTCCAAGCCTGCAGAGTAATACAATATAAGCAGTTTGGGAGATCTGCACAGAAACTAGTATAGTTGTAAAACCTGCCCTCCCTCCCTCAATGTAAGATGTCAAAGAAAATTTCATGGGGAAACTCTTATGAAGTCTTTTGGCTACTATATAGGTTTGAGATTTGGACCAATATTTTTAAGGGTGGTCAAACAAGCATTCTACAGAGAAATCATACACATCCAGATTCCCACACTCTAGTCTGTTTCCAAGTTTGGAACTCCAATTCTCAGATTTTTGACACTCTGAGGCATTTGCAGTTGGGAAAGAATATCTCCCCTTCATTCCTTTCCAACTGTCACGACCTCAACTCCATCTAGAACATCTTCAGTCAGTTCCTTTCTGACTGGTTAGTGAAGGTGCTCCCTGCAGGAGATGCTTACTTGATTGCTATCGCTGTTCCAGCTCTTTCTAGGATGCAGCCTTCCTTTAGGAAGCTCCATCATATCCATCTTTAGTTATGCAAAGTACTTGACCTCTCCGCTTCAGTTTCCCCTTCTTTAAAATGAGGACAATTACATGGAGCCTTTTGTTTCAGATTTTAGTGGCAACCGCTTTTGAAGCCTTTTTTCCACTTCTGAAGTAAGTCTGGGATTTGAAGCAGCTATTCCAAAGTTTGTCGGCCTTTGGAAGTTTGGAACAATTGTCTCCTACAAGCGTTCTACCTGTGGTGGTTTAGTATAGTGACCATGTCCTGAGCAAACTTGTTGGTCTGTCAGGACTGAGAACAATTGCCTTGCCCAAGTGGTTGTTGGGTTAGGCTTGCATTGCTAGGCTTTTAATATTTGTCCTCTTTTCAGGGGTTCATCTGTGTGGAAAGAGTCCCTCAGTCTGTGCCTCACCACATAGCACTTGAGTAGCCCCAGGCAATTCTGATGGTAGATGACTAGCCCTTGGGCAGTGGTTTTCAGACTGCAGGTTGTTACTCAGTACTGGGTCACAGAATGTAAGGCACTGGGCATTAAAAGTCCTATCTGTGGTGCTGCTCGGCTAAGGCACGCTAGTCCCTATCTGTTCTCACACCGTGCTGTGCCCCAGAAGCGGCCAGCAGCAGGTCTAGCTCCTAAGCGGGGGGGTCATGGGGCTCCGTGCGCTGCCCCGCCCCGAGCACTGTCTCCGCACTCCCATTGGCCGGGAACCATTGCTTCCAGGGCGCAGTGCGGTCTGCGGTGCCAGAACAGACAGGAAACCTGCCTTTGTACCCCTGCTGCACCACTGACCGGGAGCTGCCAGAGGTAAGCCCGTGCCCCATCCGCATGCCCCAATCCCCTTCCCCAGCCCTGAGCCCCACCCCAACCCAGTGCCCCTTCCTTCATCCCAAACCCATCATCCTCAGCCCCACCCCAGAACCTGCACCCCCAGCCCAGAGCCCTGATCCCCTCCTGCACCCCAACCCCCCACCCCATTACTGAGCCCCCCCAAACCTGGAACCCCCTCCTGCATCCCAAACCCTTCATCCCCAGCCCCACCCTCACCCCAGAGCCTGTAACCCCAGCCCAGAGCCCTGACCCCCTCCTGGACCCCAATCCCCTGCCCCAGTCCTGAGCCCTACTCCAAACCCCTCATCCCCAGGCCCACCCCAGAGCCTATACCCCCAGCACAGAACCAAACTTGTAATCTCATTTAAAAAACCAAAACTATAAACACATACCACCAAGCTAGCTTGACAAAAATCTATTTTCCATAAACCTATATTGATTGGTATTAATTATATAACCCTCTTAATTCTTGATCAATCAAGTTCTTTACCAGCTCCATTATCTTGGCTGGGATTGATGTTAAACTGACAAGTTTATACTTATCCAGGCCATCCTGTTTACCTTTTAACTACTGAGATAGCAGCAGCTCTCTTCTAGAACTTCCCCAGTACTCCAACGCTTATTGGGGGGAAAAACAAAACAAAACCAACATTAATTGTCCAGTAAGTTCATCATCTGACTCTTTTAATATTCTTGGATGCAAGTTATCCAGACCTACTGATTTAAAAGTGTCTAACTTAAGTAGCTGCTGTTTAACATCCTCCTGAGATACTAGTGGAATGGAAATAGTGTTCTTATGATATGACTGTGTTGTATTTCCACCACCACCACCAATAGAGAACAGAAATACTTATTGATCATTTTATTGTTTCTATATATATTATTAGAATTCCTTTTGTTCCATGTATTAAACGCCTTATTGTCCTTAACTCTGCTGGCCATAGACTACTCCTTGTGTCCCTTTGCTTCCCTTATCAATTTTCTTTAAGTCCTAGTTTCTGATTAACATTAATTACTATCAACATCCATTTTAGTCCATTTATGTTATGTTATTTTTTAGAGTGGAAGTAAAGGCAGCTATAAACCAGGTTGTGTTTTTAAACCATCACAGCCTTCTTCTTTGACTGTGGGTTTATAGCTTTTGGGACATCTAGTAAAGTGTGCTTAAACAATTCCCAGTCATATTTTTCTGATTAAATTATTCTGGCAGATAATTGTTTTCAGCTTCGTGAAATTGGCTCTTTTAAAGCACCAAAAAAAATTATTATATCTATCTATTTATCTCACATTGTTCTGGACTTTATTGTGTTTGCACAATAAATATGATCAAGTCATGATCACTTGTGCCTAAGTTACCATTAATTTTTAGCTCTGATTCTTTATCTGTCAAGACGAGATCTAATATTGAATATCCCATGTTGGATGCAATACTTTTTGAGTTGATGTAATATTTAGAAATTCCAAGCATGTGTTAGTACTGGCACAATTAGACCTCCAGCATGCGTCACTCAAACTGGAGTCCCCCATGATCAAACAGCTTTTTCCCCCCTACACATTATAGTTCAGCTCTTTACATACCTTACTTGTCACCCTGTTTCCTACGGTGATTTGGTGGTCTGTAACAGACACCAGCTAATACACCATCTAGTGCTTTATTGATTAGCACATTGATCCATAAGTATTCCTGGAAACAACTCCAGTTCTGGCCAGAGTTAAGGCATATTCTTCTATGCGTGGCAGAACCTGTATCAACCATTGTGCTCTTTTATCCACTTGGATGTGGAGTTTTTGTTGCACAAAGGATATATGTGGTATTCCTGTGCGGTATTCTTCCAGTAGAAGGCAGCTGTGACTCTGCCACTTATCAGATTGAGAGGTTTTCTAGGCAGCTGCTCAGGTTGCTGGGTAAGTCTACACTAATAGAGGATATATTCCTGTAACTTGAGATAGGATGTCTCTGTGTAAATATCTGCCAAAGTCTCTAATAGAAGAGGTCAGAACAAACAATGAAAATAATCCATAAAATCCAGTCAAGTAGGGTTTCTTTTTTTGTGGACACTTGGATCAATCTGCGATTCTGTTACAGAGGTTGGTTTACAAATGGGGCATCTCCCTGCATCAGAAGGTGAGAGTTTCTTTTTCACAGGCAGATTTCTGGCAGTTTCAGGGGGAGATTTCTTGCCCCTTTTATTTCTAACACAGTTGCCATGTTTTATGTAAACCCACTTTTATACTCTGCTGAATATATGTCACCTCTCTGTGGTTTCCTTATAGATCTGGTCTATTTTAGAGAGAAAAAAACAAAACAAAAAACTTTCAACCACTATATGGGCTAGTTAAAGATGGTACATTGTCTCTGTACCTATAGTAAAATGTTCTTTTGACCATTTTGATGCCAGAAGCATCAGTCTTGAGACCTTTGTCATTTAGAAGGAAATCTTTTTAAATTTTTATATAAAGGGATTGTTTTGATTGTTGGTGACATCAATTAACCTACGGACGCTACTAATTAGGTCGTTCATTCATTATTTGCGGTCATTGAATTTGTAAAAGATTAGGAAACATAGGTTAAAATCTTCAACACCTCTTTCTGCTCTTTGTTAGGTAAGCGGTCTATATTGGTGTAACAAGGCTCCAGCTAGGGAAATGTTCTTGGGCAGGCACAGTGGAGATAGTTGTAAAGCTGTCTTCCAAGAACCCTGGTGTAAGGGGTATGCTAGGATGGGAGGGATGTATCAGCAGTGGGCCACAATACTGCAGATATTCTGGGCAGAACTTTGACCCTAGGATCATCTCGGAGGGTACTAAGAGGTGTCTTAGAGCCACCTTAGCCCCCTTACTTCTGGCTGCAAGTTTTGTGTTGCACCTTGAAGAGAGGTAGCACAGAATCTCAGCTATAATGGGTTTAGCTGGCTATACTAGAGTTTATTAAAAATAAAAAAAACAAACCTGTTCACAGAATGGGCAAATGACATAAAGGACTTGAAAAACTTTCATATTCTCACACTTTTCTGAGAGCCTCTCTTCTCTCTCCTACTTTGCGAGACAGAAGTAAAAGTGGGGTAATGATGGTAAATGTAACCAAAGGTAATCTTTTCAAAAATATTGTACAATTTCATTTTTCTGTTTTGCTTTGTCACAGACCAAAATGGGTGATGTTGAAAAAGGCAAGAAGCTCTTTGTTCAGAAATGCTCTCAGTGCCACACAGTTGAAAAAGGGGGGCCGCACAAGACTGGACCAAATCTTTGGGGTCTGTTTGGTCGCAAAACAGGACAAGCTGCAGGATTCTCTTACTCAGATTCAAACAAGAACAAAGGTAAAAACAAAAAGGTGACATGGGGTGGGGTGCAGGACTGGAAGCATAAAGAAGAAAAATTAATTCCATTCTTGCTAGATCTTAAAAATCTTTACAAAACTACCCTCATAGCTGTTAAATGACAGTATTGCAAGATGAACCTGAGCCACATCTTCAGAAGCAAAGTGCTTTTTAACTGAAATTTTAGTATCCTTTTCCAGCACATCTCAGTTTTTTTATATCTGGCTATTTACATCCTTTCCAGGATTTTACATTAAAATCTGCCCTCTGACAGTGCCTATTTCTTGGAGTGATGCTGGTCCTTTAGTCTGATCTTGCTTCAGTTGGTCACTGCTCTCTACTGGCATTGCATTGGTGTATAGTCTCTTCACTTATTGGCACTGGACTAATTTTAGCCCTCTGATTATTATATGCTGACATGTCCATGTGTACTGTTTTAATACAGATGATCTTGAAAGTAAAGGTGTGTTTAAAAGTACTGTTACATAAATGAACACCATTGTATCTAATTTGGGTCAAGGTATTAATTGCAAATATTATTCTTAGTTTAAGTTCTTTGATTCTTCAGTTTTACTGGGATCCCACCGGGGGAGGGATTCAGTCTTATACTGGGATCTTAATTATACAGATCTATTCCTACAAAGAAAGCATGTATTTCAGTGTTAGTGTCTGTTTTGAAAGTGCTCATGTGAGCTAATAGTGCAAGGGATTACTACAATAAAGTACATTTAGACATCCTGATGATGGCTTACGACTAGGACATAATACGTCAACCATATTAGTCAATTTATCTCCTGAAGAGGTCAGACATAAGTGGTGCTGCTATTACTAATCTTTCTGTAGCCTTCAGTACTGTTGACCATAATCTGTCATTGATATGCCCATGAGAATTAAAGGTGGAAGCTAACACTGAAGCTGTTTCATCTTGTGAGTGGTTCCATTCCCTGCTCTAGTACTCATTGGCATTAGACCAAGGCACTACAGGGGTTCACCTCTAGCACTCCTGTTGATTATATCTTTGAGCCTGTTTCAGTGCAACTTATCACATCTCGTCCAGACCCCGCTGAGGTAACAAAAGTCCAAAACAAGAGTTTACACAAACAAAAGGTTCTTCCACCCTGCTTAGGCTTCTCATCAGCCCAGCCTCCATGCTCACTTCCCAGCCCCTTTCATCTACCTTTAAGTCTTTCTGATACCTTCCCTGGAGTCCTTTCCTGGTCTCAAAGCCTTCCTCAAGAACCTACCTTACTCCATGTAGGTCCTCCTCTAGGAGTTTTCTCAGCCCTTATGAGGCCTGGTTTCAGGATGTCGCCTGACCCCATTTAATCCTGCCTCTTCTGGTTAAAATGGAGGTAATTATGGCCTAGGAGAGCTGACTGAATAAGGCTGGCTGCCCCAGGCTTCCTGCCCTTTAAAGGGGTGAGCCACCCTGTTACACACCTGTTCCTGTTAGAGAAATTCCAGAGAGTAGCATTGAAACTGCTGTTTCTTTCTGAAGGTTCTCTATTGCCACCCTTCATGTTCAACATTTATGAACCTACTGTGGGGGGAAATATAGTGTGAGCTAGAGTGTCAGTATGCAGATAATCAGCTCTACATCTTTTTAACAGAATTACAGGTTGCTTTCCCTGTGCTCTGTCAATATCTAGGAGAGACAGACAATAACTAAAGCTAACTGTTTACATATCTGGAGAAGATGGAAGTGCTGCTGACCTGGCAGAGGGAAATGCTTTAAAGAGCTGGCAAAATTTAAAACCATTGTGTGTAATCAACAGTTTCTGTGAACACTTTTGCCAATAAATGGACAATCTCAGGATTAAAAAGAGAGCTTGCTCAACCCTAAGTAAAGATCACATTGATTTAAAACACAAATCTGAATACATTACTGGAAAGCATTGTCTCTACTGGCACTTAAATTATGAAGATATTTGTATAGATTAAAAGTAGCAAACATTATTCAAAAGTGTTCAGTTTAGCTGAACTGGCTTTAAACATTAATCTTTCCAAGATGCTAAATATAATCTGGATTATTAAAATGAGTCAAAAGTAAATACAGAATGTACCAGTTGTGTATTTAATGTGAAATGTGTTCAAGCAATAATGAAACCTGGATTTAATTTATCATTAATTCTCATTCTTTTTTCCTCCTTTGGAATTTAGAACATAAACTGAGTAGCTTACTTTCAGAGCTGCATACCCTAGATTTTGAGATCTTGAATATTCTTGATATACTTAGCTATCTGTGGAGTCAAGTGGTATGACATTAATAAAATGTAAGCAATTCTTCATTATTGTTTAAACTTTCCAGGTGTTGTCTGGAATGAAAATACACTGATGGAGTATTTGGAGAACCCTAAGAAATATATTCCTGGAACTAAAATGATTTTTGCTGGCATTAAAAAGAAGAATGAGAGAGCAGATGTTATTGCATACTTGAAAAAGGCAACATCTTCATGAAGTGTTCTTACAACTACCGTGATGTCAGAAAGTGTTTCAAAATTTGAATCTCTCTTGTATCAGTATTCATGTTTCAGTAGTCTGTTAATATTTGTTTATTAGGTACTGGTCTTAGCATCTGAAAATATGAGTCTTTATTTGATTTTTGCTAAGCCTACTACCAAAACAAATTAAGGGTGAGCACTATGTAAACTATTTCTATGATGGTAAAGGTGGGTATGGCTCCATACAGATATTTCAAAAGAAAAATACTGTTCCCTTTTCCAAGGAGCTTCCAACTGAAGGGTCCAGTCCTGGAATTATATATACATAACTGGAATTATACATACATATAACTTTACATGGAAATCAATGTGACTGTTCAAGTTAGTACAGTTACTCACACGTGTAAGTGGTTGTAGCAATGGACCCTAATACTTCTTCCTTGAAGATTTTACTTAGGCAAAATTCTCAACAAAATCAGTGGGGGCTCAGCATTTTGCAGGATTCAGCCCTAATTTAAAAGAGCAAGGGTTGACAAACAATGGAACTGAACTACGGAGAAAAAGCCAGTCAGCTTTATATCAAGATGTTAGTATAAAAGTGAAGCTCAAGGGATTGGAATAGCTACAGTTTGATCTGTAAATAATTTCAAAACTTTAGCTCACTCCTTGTATTAGCGTTTCTTCATGTGTTAAAAGGACAAACTGTCGACCAATCAGCAATCTCTTCATTACAGTTATAGTTTTTTTTCACTCCACGTGTTCACTCCATGAGTCAAATATATTAAGGTATCCAGCCCCCTTACTATAAAGAAACAAATAAGGTCTGACATAGCTCAAATGATGGTAATAATAGCAGGAATACTTTCACCTTTAGTTCATACTCACAACTGTTCTGGTAGCCTATAGAAAATGTAATGGTTTAGCCTGGGCCTGGGAAGACAGGATTACTACATGAGCCGATACCTTACTTGGGTATTTTAGAGAATTCAAGAATTATACGTGCATGGAAACTGATCTGCCTTTCTCACTTCATTAAGGCACTTCAGGCTCAGGCTGTGAGGGTCTCATTTATGCTGTCCCATACCTATTCTAGGGCTATAAATCTTGCACCTTTCAAATGGCGAACCTTGAAAATGAGGTTGGAGTGGGGATTGAGGAAATTAACAGTAGAGCGTACATCTTTAATAGTGAAATCTGCATCTAATTTATATCTTTTTATTAGACAAACTGCTTAGCTGTACTGCTGAGAGTACTAAGTCTTCCCAGGGTTCTGTAAATACTGAGGTGTTAACTTACATTATTGTTAAAGGCAGTACTTTCATGTGTTTGGCCACTGATGATTTGTGCAGAATATATCCCAATAACATTAAAGATGTTAGTAAAAAGAAAACTTATAAAATATATTGAACATCTAAATTTAATTTTAAATCCTTTCATTTTTTACAATACTAGTTAAGCACTACAGTGTAACCATCATATATATATTTAGTACTACAGTGATTGATGCTAGAGAAAAACCATCTTGGTGGTTATCTCAAACTTTTCCAGAGTAACAGCCGTGTTAGTCTGTATTCGAAAAAGAAAAGGAGTACTTGTGGCACCTTAGAGACTAACCAGTTTATTTGAGCATAAGCTTTCGTGAGCTAGAGCTCACTTCATCGGATGCATACTGTGGAAACTGCAGAAGACATTATATACACAGAGACCATGAAACAATACCTCCTCCCACCCCACTCTCCTGCTGGTAATAGCTTATCTAAAGTGACCACTCTTCCTACAATGTGTATGATAATCAAGGTGGGCCATTTCCAGCACAAATCCAGGTTTTCTCCCCCCCCCCCCCCACAAACTCACTCTCTTGCTGGTAATAGCTTATCTAAAGTGATCACTCTCCTTACAATGTGTATGATAATCAAGGTGGGCCATTTCCAGCATAAATCCAAGTTTAACCAGAAAGTCGGGGGGAGGGGGTAGGAAAAAACAAGGGGAAATAGGCTACCTTGCATAATGACTTAGCCACTCCCAGTCTCTATTTAAGCCTAAATTAATAGTATCCAATTTGCAAATGAATTCCAATTCAGCAGTTTCTCGCTGGAGTCTGGATTTGAAGTTTTTTTGTTTTAAGATAGCGACCTTCATGTCTGTAATTGCGTGACCAGAAAGATTGAAGTGTTCTCCGACTGGTTTATGAATGTTATAATTCTTGACATCTGATTTGTGTCCATTTATTCTTTTACGTAGAGACTGTCCAGTTTGACCAATGTACATGGCAGAGGGGCATTGCTGGCACATGATGGTAGCGTAGGGCCTGAGGAGGGAGTCTACATAGCCAGACAATCCTGCTGTCAGAGTGCCAATGCCTGAGATGATGGGGCGCCCAGGATTTCCAGGTTTATGGATCTTAGGTAGTAGATAGTCAGTCTATGTAGACTCCCTCCTCAGGTCCTACGCTACCAGCACTCCCAGCTACCTTCGAGACACCACTGACTTCCTGAGGAAACTACAATCCATCGGTGATCTTCCTGATAACACCATCCTGACCACTAGGGATGTAGAAGCCCTCTACACCAACATTCCACACAAGCCATCAAGAACACTATCCCCGATAATGTCACGGCTAACCTGGTGGCTGAACTTTGTGACTTTGTCCTTACCCATAACTATTTTACATTTGGGGACAATGTATACCTTCAGATCAGCGGCACTGCTATGGGTACCCGCATGGCCCCACAGTATGCCAACATTTTTATGGCTGATTTAGAACAACACTTCCTCAGCTCTCGTCCCCTAACGCCCCTACTCTACTTGCATGCTTCCAGCTTTCACCCTGACCACACCACACGATCCATCGTCTACAGCCAAGCTCTGCGATACAACCGCATTTGCTCCAACCCCTCAGACAGAGACAAACACCTACAAGATCTCTATCAAGCATTCTTACAACTACAATATGCACCTGCGGAAGTGAAGAAACAGATTGATAGAGCCAGAAGAGTTTCCAGAAGTCACCTACTACAGGACAGGCCTAACAAAGAAAATAACAGAACGCCACTAGCTGTCACCTTCAGCCCCCAACTAAAACCCCTCCAACGCATTATTAAGGATCTACAACCGATCCTGAAGGATGACCCAACACTCTCACAAATCTTGGGAGACAGGCCAGTCCTTGCCTACAGACAGCCCCCCAACCTGAAGCAAATACCAACAACCACATACCACACAACAGAACCACTAATCCAGGAACCTATCCTTGCAACAAAGCCCGTTGCCAACTGTGCCCACATATCTATTCAGGGGACACCATCACAGGGCCTAATAACATCAGCCACACTATCAGAGGCTCGTTCACCTGCACATCCACCAATGTGATATATGCCATCATGTGCCAGCAATGCCCCTCTGCCATGTACATTGGTCAAACTGGACAGTCTCTACGTAAAATAATAAATGGACTCAAATCAGATGTCAAGAATTATAACATTCATAAACCAGTCGGAGAACACTTCAATCTCTCTGGTCACGCAATTACAGACATGAAGGTCGCTATCTTAAAACAAAAAAACTTCAAATCCAGACTCCAGCGAGAAACTGCTGAATTGGAATTCATTTGCAAATTGGATACTATTAATTTAGGCTTAAATAGAGACTGGGAGTGGCTAAGTCATTATGCAAGGTAGCCTATTTTCCTTTGTTTTTTCCTACCCCCCCCCCCGACGTTCTGGTTAAACTTGGATTTATGCTGGAAATGGCCCACCTTGATTATCATACACATTGTAAGGAGAGTGGTCAGTTTGGATGAGCTATTACCAGCAGGAGAGTGACTTTGTGTGTGTGTGGGGGGGTGAGAAAACCTGGATTTGTGCTGGAAATGGCCCACCTTGATTATCATGCACACTGTAGGGAGAGTGGTCACTTTGGATGAAGTATTACCAGCAGGAGAGTGAGTTTGTGTGTGTGGTTTTTGGAAAAAGGGGTGGGGGGGGGGGGCTGAGAAAACCTGGATTTGTGCTGGAAATGGCCCACCTTGATTATCATACACATTGTAAAGAGAGTGGTCACTTCGGATGGGCTATTACCAGCAGGAGAGTGAGTTTGTGTGTGTGGGGTGGGGCGGAGGGTGACAAAACCTGGATTTGTGCTGGAAATGTCCCACCTTGATTTTCGTATACATTGTAAGGAGAGTGGTCACTTTGGATAAGCTATTACCAGCAGGAGAGTGAGTTTGTGTGTGTGGTTTTTGGAAAAAGCGGGGGGGGGGGAGGGTGAGAAAACCTGGATTTGTGCTGGAAATGGCCCACCTTGATTATCATACACATTGTAAAAAAGAGTGGTCACTTTGGATGGGCTATTACCAGCAGGAGAGTAAGTTTGTGTGGGGGGGGTCAGAGGGTGAGAAAACCTGGATTTGTGCTGGAAATGGCCCACCTTGATTATCATACACATTGTAAGGAGAGTGATCACTTTAGATAAGCTATTACCAGCAGGAGAGTGGGGTGGGAGGAGGTATTGTTTCATGGTCTCTGTGTATATAATGTCTTCTGCAGTTTCCACAGTATGCATCCGATGAAGTGAGCTGTAGCTCACAAAAGCTTATGCTCAAATAAATTGGTTAGTCTCTAAGACGCCACAAGTACTCCTCTTCAAACTTTTCCATAGCCTCCCCATCATGATCCCCATCCCTCTTAATAATATGGAAAAGGTAGCATCATTTTAACCCCTCTGACATTATGACCCAGAGGTTGGGAATTCACATCTTAAAATTTGTAGGGTAGGTTGTCTGCAAGTTCTGGCAAGTATCACTGAAGCAGTTTAGGATCCGTTCACATTTCCAAGGTCAAAGCTTCACAATCACAAGAGCTAGACTTTTTTTTAATGAAAGGGAGAGGAAAGGCAGATGGTTGTAACCCTCCTGAAACCTGTTTGACTCTTTCCCTCCAGCACCCAGGTTGTGACTCACAGGTTAAGAACACTTGCCTTGGACAATTAAACAAATTAAAATATACTTCAGCATGGTTGAGGTCAGCCTTAGTTGAATGAAGAAAGCACCAATACAATTCCCATTTATTGATACAGCACCAATCAGGTATATAGGTATTGTTCATAATCCCTACATTGTTCTAGCACTTAGCAACCAAGCCTTGCAATGCTCCTTTGAGGCGGGGAAGTATTATAATCCACATTTTAAGGAAGGAGTAATTGAGGGCTCAAACAGTTAAGTGACATAGTCAAGAGTATAAGTCTGTGCACAGCTGGAACTAGAACCCAGGTTTTGCTCCCATACCTGTTCTTTTAGCTACAGACAGACAATCCTTCCTCTCAGTTTACAGGTAAGAACACCTTGCATTAATTGTGTTAGACTCTACTATTAAAATAATGCAGCCACCTGTAGTTTGGAGTGACAATTTGATTAAGGGTTTGTAACTTTTCTAAGTGACACTTTAAAACTTGCCTGGAACAGCACTATGTCACTTGCCCTCCAGAAGCTGGCAGTGTTAGGACTTGATCCTGCTCCTCCTAAATACAGGGAGAATTCTGCTTTTGATGCAAAGAGAAGTATGAGTAGGCCTTCCAAGAACACTATGAGGGTCAGACTTCTACGAACTTGCTACATCTCTGACCCAATTTTTTCATCTGTAATAGAAGGTAATATTTACTCTTACTCCAAAAAAAGTGTTGTGAGATTAATGTTTGTACAACACTTTGAAGCTGCAATAATGATATAAAATGAACATGGCACACGTCCACCCTAACAGACAACAGCAGTTGTCCCACAATGCCCCATTCTGTGAGATAGTGACTGCTCTGGCCACAACTGTGGATTCCACTGCCCAGGGGTCATGGAGAACAGAAGCCATTTCCAATTTAAAACTCCATGCATGTTTTTGAAATGCCTTTTCCTGACTGCCACCTTGGCAAGCACAGCTAGCAGCTCTCCCTTCTTGTGTGCAATTGCCCAACTGACCATGTTGGCTTCCGGCACTAGAGGCACTCCTTCCTGGAGTATACAGGAAGCATTGGATTTCCTGGGCCTGTGAGGAGAAGAGGGTCTAAAGATCAGCTGCAGAAACAAACATCTGCAAACAGATTGCACGGGTGATGCAGACAAAGGGGTAAGAAAGGGACCAGCAGCAGTGCCACAGGAAAGCGAAGGAACTGCGGCAGGCATACCACAGGGACAGTGAGGCCAACAATAGATCTGGTGCTGAGCTAAACAGACCTGTCACTTTTATAATGAGCTTCATGCCAAACTTGGCAGAGACTCCACTAGCACCCTGCAAATCACTGTGGATATCTTGGAGGAGGATGAGACTGAGACCCTTGCTGTGAACAGTAAAGAGAAAGAGGTGGAAGAGGCAGAGGGAGACATGGCGGGAGGGGATAGTCCAGCCATGTCATGAGCCAGGACCTGTTTGAGACTACA